GATTTAGAAATTACTACATGCAGGGCAAATATGAATATGAACTAACAACAGAGAACAGGACATGACTGCACCACGTGGGATCAACTCAAATGACCCCTAAGGATTCTAGATTCTTAGATTCTCACATTGACTGAACATTTGTCCCTTGCTTATATACACTGCCTCAGTTTCCCATTGGTAAGAGAATGATTACAGTGATTAAAAAACCATCACTAGTCCTACACCAACTGGAGTGCTGGCAGAAGTCTGCACGTGCCATGTGCTGGGAGAGCTTCACAAGTATGTTGTTCTACCCAATCACCATATTTTCCATTTGAAGTCTATACTTTGTACAGATGTACCAAGCACATTTGAAAACAATTTGTTCTTGCTGTTAATTTATAAGGAAAAACCTGCTGCATATGCATGAAATTAAGAGCAAAAAAGAAAAGAAAAATGTCCAAGCAGACAATGTATTTGATACCACGATAATAACCCTGGATAGATTCCTGTGGGCTGGTGATGCCATCTGCCTAGTCCATGCAGAATCCAAAGACCATTGTACTCCTTAGAAAGATCATCTTTTAGACTGATTCAAAGCCAAGGAGTGCTGGTTGAGTCAAACTGATTGAAAGCTGGATAGTGACAGTCATGCAAGAAAGGCTCTGATCAGCAGTGGGACATTCACAGCCTTTCTCAGGAAATCTCATTATTTTATACCATTTCTTCATTGATACATCTGAAGGCATGAAAAAGTAACATTTGTATATGTTTTTCTCCTAATATGAAACTAACAGGGGGAAAGTATGCCTGAATACTATTCTCTTGTAAAGAATATTTGATGGTGAAGGGCCTTGACAGGAAGCCGTGTGAGGACTGGCTGAGAGCACTTGGTCTATTCAGCCTGGAGGAGACTGAGAGGAGACCTCATTGCAGTTACAACTTCCTCATGAGGGGAAGAGGAGGGAAAGGCACTGATCACTTCTCTGGGGTGACCAGTGACGGGACCTGAGGGAATGGCCTGAAGTTGGGTCAGGGGAGGTTTAGGTTGGATATTAGAAAAAGCTTTTCACCCAGAGGTTGGTTGGGCATTGGAACAGGCTCCCCAGGGAAGTGGTCACAGCACCAAGCCTGACAGAGCTCAAGAATCATTTGGACAATCCTCTCAGGCACATGATGTGACTCTTGGGGATGGTCCTGTCTAGGGTTAGGAGTCGGACTTCAGTAACCCTTGTGGGTCCCTTTTAACTTGGCATATTCTGTCATTCTGTGATATTTAAGTACTGCAGCCAGAGGAAAAGCCAGAGATATGTGTCAGATCCTCTTCACTGAGCCTGCAAGCATATGAGACACAAACTGAGATCAGATGATCAACATTCTACCTATTTCAGCAGATCTCTTTAAAACTTAGCATTTCTGACCACACAGATAGAAAGGTCACTGTTTAAGAGACCTCGTGCCTCTACCACAGTTGACCTGACAGGTCTCATTTGTGCTGTTACAAATCCCAAATACACCTCCTGATCTTGATGGCCTCAAGTATCCAGAGTCAAATTTTCTCCTGTAAGTCTTCACTTACACTTGTCTGACTCCGGTACAATTACTATCCCTGCAAAGGAAGGCTAAAATCAGAATGAACACCCTTGCTGCCTGAAAAAAGTTTCATTGTCCAAGAAAATATATAATTTCTTCAGGTCTTTTTTCTATTTCACAATAAATAAAAATACAAACACACACTGCCTATCTTTTAACTCAACAGAGTTATTAAAGACAGATGCATCCTGTAAGGCCACATCTAAATCTACTGCAGAATACTGGACTGCACATTGACCATATATTTCAGTAAGGACTTTAATAGGAGGTCTGATTCTACCACACACTGAATTTCTGCTGCTTCGACTGACAGTTATGACTGGGTTTAATTGAAAGGGTTAAAAGCCTCAGGATCAGCTAAAAAGTGCTAGTGAAGTGGAATAATAAACGCTAGTGATTCTGTGGGAGGAAGAGAGGCTGGGTTCTGGAACAGATACATGCAATAATTTCTGAGAATAACTTTTGCAATGGGAGTTAGAAGGTGCCACTTCACCAGGAGGTGTTTTAATCTGCTATATCTTCCTATCTTCCACATGTGAAAAATCAGTCAAGAAAAATATAAGTAGGGGGGAGAAAGGTATATGGTGTAAAATAGCAGTAGGTAAAATTTTAAAGATACACAACATCAAATCAGGTGGAAGGTCACTAATGGCTCCTGCAATTCTTTTCTGCAGCTGCAGACTAGCCCTGAACTGATATAGCAAAGTGGTTGAGAAAAACATGAATTAATGTCCCTTTCTTTTCATTTTTTTTTATTATTGTTCCCTATTTTCAACTTTAAAAAGGGGAAAAAAAAAAAGTGTTCAACAACTGTAAATCTAGACTTACTAAAGCTACTAACATTTTCAGATCACAGAATATGCTGCTAAAGGGCAACTAATTTGTCACATAGCAGGTAAGGCTTTGTGTCTCCTTTCCTACCTGATAAATGTAGAAGCTTCCGTTCCCCCAGATGTTGCATGCAACACATTTCCAGTGTTATGTACATGGCTATTTATTAATTTTCTAGTAATTAGTATCCTGGGGAGAAATCCTATTACTACTCTATTTACATAATTTAATAAAATATTGCAAAAAGCAAAGTGGGAGGAATTTCTTATGTTTTATTAGCATTTGGCAATTTCGGTCTTTTTAATGATGTCTGCTGACCTCTAGCCAGTAGCTGTGTTTCAAAGCAGTTTCTTTCAAAATTCTTTCTTTAATTAAAAACTATTACCAAAGAGGAAATTGGAATCAAATATCTCAGTGGCGGGGAAGATTTTGACCTACTCAGGATTTTTATTTTACAGAAACTAAATAAGCAGTAGGAAAATAATTTTTAAGAGTTGTCTAATTTAGAAGCAAGGAAAAAACCAAATTAGACTAATGTCATGCTAGATATTAGGAAGAAAACTAAATAAGTTTCATAATCCTTTTCCACTGTAAATACTGTCCCTAGGTCTCTTCTTGTTCACAAAATCTGTCAGAACCAAACCTGTTGAAGTCATCGTGAGCATACCAGTATTGGCATCCAAACACAACCCCTTTGGCCAAAGGGCAGAAGCAATCCTTTTCCCATTTCACTTTGTCTTTCAAACAGAAACTCCTGACAGTGGCCTGCGTTGAATCTTCCCATTTATGGAATTTAGTTATTTCTTTTGGAAAGTTTACCTGGAAGTTCAGTAACCCTTTAAAGCAATGGCATTTTCATGCAGCTATTTAAATATACTTCAGGATACTGCTTCAGTATTTTAGCCCATATATAACTTTCTTGGTCCCAAACTGAGAAAGACAGCACAGCTTCCCTGAGCTCCAACATCCGGAGATGATTTATTTAATAAGGTGATGAATTTTCATACTGGATGCAATTATTGACGTCCATGCAAGCACACAGAGATCCTCACATGCAAATCTAACGAGGTTTCTAGGGAACTTGCAGATATTACAGATTCACAGGCTCCTTCACTCAGCTCCTGGGAAAGCACTTACAGCTGATTCCATGCTAATTCATTGCTCAATGAATAAGTAAAATCTGTACAGTATAATAAAAACATTGATCATCATGCTTTAAAAAGATTGACTCCTAAACATTTAGGAAGCAGTGTGTATTCAAGGGAAATGTTTATTGGTACTGGGAAATTAAACTGTCACTTGTGAAATAGTAAAACTCATTAATGTGGACTTTCTTTTTAAGTGTTAGGAATTAACTTTATGGCCGCATCAGTAACGAGCAGCAAGCCTCAGCCTCAAATCGCCTGCCGTTTAGTATTCACGAACGTTATTAAAACATATTAACCATAATTTAATTGACTGGGAATTTTAAAAAGACAGGGAAGAAGGGGAGGGGGGGGAGGAAAAAAAAAAAAAAAAAAAAAAAGAAAGCCCAAAGCCCCGAAACCGGTCAGCGTTGGGAGTGGCAGGAGAGGGGATGGCAGGATGGATGGATGGGAGGCCGGTGGTGCCCGCGGGGCTCACCCCGGGCCGGGGCCACCAGGACGGGGCGGCCCCGCGCTGCCGGCGGGGCAACAGCGCCCTCTCGCGCCCGCCGCGCCCCGCCGGGGCCCCCGCCCCGCTCCGCCCGACGGGCCGCGGCCAAGGGGGGGCCGCGCTCCGGGAGCCCCCTCCCGCTCCCGGCGGCATTTCCCCCGGCGCATCCCCGGGGGCGCAGGTCACGGAGCACCCCCTCCTTCTCCTCTGGGCTCCAGGACCCGCCAGCACCACAGGCACCCGGACACACCGCGCTCACCCAAGCGCCCGTAGAGCCGCAGCGGCACGGCAAAGCCCGGCGGCGAGGGATGCTCCTGCCTGCGGGGAGCGACCCCCGCAGGGCCGGCAGCGATAGGTGGGCAAACTTACGAGGCGCTCTCCCGATGAAGAGGGAGCGAGAGGCGATTTCCCATGCACAATATGCTGGGGCACACCTCGGGACCCAGCCGTGCCTGTGGGAAGCGCCCGGGAGAACAGACGGTACCGCGGGGCCAGGGGAAGACGCTCGGTGCCACCAGCGCTGCTCTGCCAGGCTGGAGCCAGACTGCTCCCGCGAAATCGCAGGCCTTAAGAGAAGGACCGACCCGACCCTCCAGGCAGAGGTGCGACTCCGGCCCCGGCTCCGTCCCGGACAGTGGCCCGCAGCCGAGGCAGGGTGAACGGCGGCCACACCGACCGCAAAAAGATGCAGCCAGCGGAAGGACAGCAAACAGTGCGGGAAAACCCGCGAGCAGCTCCTCGCAGGCTCAAGCGGCTCCCGGTTACTCCCACGTCCACACCGGCAGGACGGTGGAGAGCAATCCCTCCGTCTGGCACCAACTTTGCATTTCTGAGCTCCATTAGCAAAGCAGAGCCGAGCTAAGTTTCTTAGAGGTCATGGTGCAATAACCCTCTTTTCCAGAGTTTTCCCCCACCCCTCCCCGTCCCAACCCCAGGCAACTCCTTGCACTCCCACTACTCACAATTTGTTGCAGTTAATCCCAGGTGCCATAAACTGAAGACCAGCAAAGTGAAGCCCCCGAGAGCTCGGGAATCCATGTTCAGCCTCGCAGGGGGAAGCCAGCCGCTCGCCTGTCTCCCCTGGTCCCGATCTCCGAACGCCCCTCAGCCTCTGTGCTCTCTCTCTCCCACCGCTCATTTACTCCATACAGCATCCAAACACTCCGGGTGAAGGGAAGCCGGGGGCGGCCGAGGGATCCTCCTCCGCAGCCCTTGGAGGAGCCGCTCCGGACGCGGGCGGCAGCGCCCGAGCCGAGCTCCCTGCCCCGGCTGCCGCCGCGGAGATTCACCTTGCGAGCGGCGACTGGGTGGGAAGCGACAGCCGAGCGCTGGGCATCTCCTTATAGGCGAGAGCCGCGCTGCACTCCACCTCCTCCCAGCCCCCTGGAAGTCACTCCTCCTCGCCTTCCAGGGAGGATCCTTACTGCAATCTTCACGCGTTGTTGATAAGCATCAGAGTCACGAAGTCAGAAGCCTGGGGACAAAAAAAAAAAGACAAAAATAATTAAAATCTTCTTCTCTTCCCCCCCCTCCCCCCCGTCTTTTTATTTTTCCTTTTCCCTCTCCTTTGGGTACCACTGTGGCTGGAACGTTTTAAAGATCCCCTGGCTCAGATGTTTGTCCGTTTGTGAATGCATATGTTATATGCACATACATAAAATATACATGTATATCCTGGCATGTAGAGTGCCAACACAGCCCGAAGAGACCCAGCCCCGCTCCCGCGGCTCAGCATTACGCCCAGGGAGCGGGGACGAGCTCGGACTGATGCTCTATTCACTCTCTTACCGCGGCTGGTTCAGAGCCTTCCTGCCTAGCCTTCCTGGAAGGCGAGCGGAAGTGGTCCCAGCAGAGTCGCGGGGAGCTCCCGTTAGTGCCCTCGGCCCAAAGAGGAAGGCGGGCCCCGAGGTAGCGGATCAGACCTGCAGACCCCTGGTCTGCACCCACCTCCCGGCTAGCGAGCATGATGCTTGCCAAAACCAGATTTCGTGAGTGATTGACTGATTGATTACCCGACTGCTCAGCAACTGAGCGGGATTATCTTCCCGAGGGGCGTACACGAAACCAGACCTGAATAAACATCCTGTCCTACCCCTGACAGGCTGCGCGCCGGCGGCCGGAGCGCTCAGAGCCAGCCCCGCGCCCCACGCTGCTCCTCACCTCTCCGCGCCTCCCCGCAGCCGTATGGGCGGGGGGAGGCACACCTCCGCTCAGGGACTCCAGCTTAATCACTGCTGAGGTCTAACCTTGCTGCTTTGTTGCGGCGTCACCCCACATCAATAGAGTACTGCATCAAAGTCAGGCCAAAATTGCATTAGCGATTCCGCTGTAATCTGCAAGGAGAGTGTGTTTGGATCAAGTCTTTGTGGGGGTTAAGCCGCTGGTCCTCAGCCATAATCCCTCACAGTGGCAAAGAATAATCAGAAGAAATAAACTGTTCACCAAAGCCATCCTAACTTGACAATGGACAGCGGAAGTTTAAATTGCTGGCATGCTGTAAGCCTCATTTTAAAAAGTAAGGAGAGTGGAGGAAAGCCATCGTGCTTAGCTATTAGGCACTAACTGTATCAGAGAGGTGTCAGGGGGACATCTTAGCTCTAAACGAGTAGCCAACTTGGAGAGCAACAGTCCACATTCAAAAATTGACCTAATTATTTTACTTTCTGTTGTTGCAAGTGACACAAGTGACACAAGGTTAAACAGGAAGGATAGCTGCCTAGTACCGAGACTTTCAGCTGGAGTCAATAAAGGGTTTAGACAGACAAAACTAAGACTTAGGAGGAACTTAAAAGCCTAATGAGCTCTACAAGTGTTTAATTTTTTACTTCAAACACATCTGCACAAACAAAGGTTTCATCTTTGCTCATGCAAAGACCTGACGCATAGCTCCACACCCATGTCTGAGCACAATGAGATTCTGGAAACTAGGGGTGGCAGTCAGTCCAAGGCTAACACACCTACATGAGGTGTCTTCTTTCCCTTACACAGGTTCTGATCGAGGTATTGAATGAATCAGCCAAGAGAGGTTTGTGTAAGGGCATACACAACATTGTGTCTGTCAACGCCCATTTTTTGAAGGTAGTGAGATTCTGCTCATTTCCCTCAGTGGATGGGGAGACAAAGGCTCTCTCATTCATGTTTTCTTATCCTAGTCAAAAACATCTCATTCTTCTCTATACCAATCTTATATGAGACTCTGGCCCAGAAACTAAAACCTGTATTAGGCCAGGAGGCTGGAGTACTGAGAAAATTCTGTTATTAACTTGGCTTTTTCAGGTGAGTGATCAAGCTTTAGAAGTTCTAGCAGTGCTTCCAGAGCTACCCACTTCAGTAAAGCTAGGCAGTAGAATACATCAGAAGTCTTAAACCAGAGTGGATTTTCTCTGGAAACACACATCTTTGACACATTCACAATTTTGCAACTATGCATTCTGAAATTAGCAGAGGAATTCAGAAGAAGGGGATTAAAAATGGGTAGGAGCGTTTCATGCTTTCCTTTTAAAAAAATAATTAAAATTAAATGGACTGTATTTCAAATGTTTTCAGTGTCTCTTTAAACTATCTGGCACATTGGTACAGTTTTTGCCTGACTCACTGAACTAATTAGTGGTGTGTTTATAGGAAAACAGATGTGGAAATGAATTATGCAGACTAATTAAAAGCTATCAGTAAATATGAGTCCCATTCTGCAATGCATCCCAGTGGTCACCAATATGGATCTGACAGCAGGATCTGGACCCCAGTTATACCATTGGTTTTCAAATCACCCTCGTGAAACAGACCTCTTCCATAATCTCCTTTGTATCATAAATGCCAGAAGGTGCCTTAAGATTTGTGAATGTTTGGGTGCAGGAGTACTACAACTGAGAAGTTACGACCAGAGTGGAGGGCTATGCAGCTGTTTGTTGCAGGAAATTATGTAAATAATGTCATCTTTAAGGGCTTTTTACCAGCAAGATTTTTATTAGAGTAAATTTATTAATTACTATTAAAGCTGTTCAGACAAAAACTGTGGCTCATCATCAACCACAGATCTGAGTACCGTGGATTTTGGAAAAACTCAGTTATTGGTTTAGTTTTAGTGTATCTGGACTTAATTCAAAATTATGGTGATGGTTGCCACTGAAGGTGTTTCAAAACCTTGCCCATGAGTGGAGGCTTTGTTACACATATAGTTATTAGTCCTTTTTAACTCAGCAATAACTCTTTTCTAACTCTCACATTCACTGTAGCACATTTTCTCTGCCTCCATGAAAGCAAAGCTGACCTTAACAGTGAAGACCCTGAGAGCTTTCACTTCAATTCCTGCCTCTTCTTTGAAAAATTTAATTTATAACCTTTTGCCAGTCACTCGATGTTCACTCCGCATTTCTTAAACAGAGGGAACACACCAGTACCTAATCTCATTCATGCTGAGGGAGGAGAAATATCCTAATGTCTGGCACCTATTCAGAATCTGCAGTCACAGTGATCATATGAGCACCTTTATAATTTCAGAGTCAGTACAGATTGTGATTAAGTTATCTGGGACTGTACTGAAATGGCTGCATTAACTCTGGGTGAGAAAGCCTAACATGGGCATTAAGTTACTCTCCCCTCCACCGTGGATGGCAGCTGAGTACCCATGTTAATGCTGCTCAGGACAATCTTAGTACATGATCTGTGTGATGGGAAGAGGAAGATAAGCAGCATTACACCAGTAGCTGGTCCCATCACAGTCTTACTGACTTTACAATGCAAGCCACAAATTTCTGAAATTGAGCATTTAAGTTTTCAGCCCGAGTGTACTACCCAAGTCTATTCTACCAGTCTGGAGCCTTGTTATTTGAGCAAAAGGAACCATTTGTGGGAATTAGATGAGAGAATATGAATAGGAGAGCAATGGAAGAACACTAACACATAAGGAAGAGCTGCCACCAGGGAACTAAGGGTATGCATTTTTGAAGAAGACAGTTTTTTTATTTAAATGTTTATCTAAGGAGGTAAGCTTATCTGTGATCAGATAAACTTGTTTTCTTTCCTCGAGTTAGTAAGCAACATTAGTGCTGCTATATCCCATGTTGAGTTTGCCACTAGAAGCAGTAATGGTTTAGCCCATGAATTCAGTCAATCCAGCTGTTTGGGTAATTGCAGCTGCAAGCTTTATCTCTGACCCCAACTGTATAGCATTCATGGAAGGAGAATAGCATTGCATATAAACAAACTTAATTGCACATGGCTTTTGGATCATATATTGCTGTTCACATGTTTCTGTTGATAACTAGGAATTTGTCTGCAGAATATGTTTCTCATCAAAAAACCTAAAGGTCGCATAAAAAACCACCAAAGGTCATATTATTCCTTTTCCCCTTAGAATATTCCCCTATAAATAGAAAGGACTCACTCATTAAAGAGAATATGTGGGGAGCTTTCATAAAACGCATCGACCCCAACCAGGTGAGTGCAACAGCAGGATGCTCATTATCCTTGGATAGTTCCACAGCATACCTAAGTCCAGAGGATAGGAAAATTTAATGATCTGCTGGGATAATCTGATGGCCACTAGCATTTTTCAGATGCATGCTGAGATTAGGTAAAATAAATCAGATGTCAAGCTGTGCAGTGATTATTGGAAGACAAAGAATTAAATCACCCCTTCCTCCCCCTCACCTTTCCCCACATTATTTTAACACTGTCTGCTGGTATTATGGCTTTCATTACATTTCATACATCTGCCTATAAAGATGCTTGTGTCTGTCATGGCCAGATACAACTACCGGACTTAAAAGATCAATAACCTGAGTAAATAATAGTACAAACGCTATGGCTGCAAATTACCTAGGGACTTCAACAGATCTTATATAAGACACATTCCTCCCTGGGGTTATTCCAGCGACATTGTGTCTTGCAGTGCAGGACAGAGTCACAGAGGACACCATCCGTGGTCTGCTGTCTGTCCTGGTTCCCTACCCAACAGTGTTCAGCTCCAGCAGGGCCACTCACAGTTGTCCCTGAGCAATACTGCTTTTTTACTAAAATCCAGCATCATCTTGGTACATTTATTGTCTCAAAACCAGCTCTCCACCAGTGTTTAATGAAAGGATGGACTTCATGAGGTGTTGGCATAAATGTAAATCCCATTCCTATGATCTAATCAACCACCATCAACTCCGAAGACAGAACTCATACACGAACTGAGTAATGTATATTTTTCCCCTTGTTTTGAAACCACACAAATTAGAATGAAGAAACATGTACAAGGTCCTGGACAGTTAGGTGTCACAGAATGGATATAATCCTTGGAGTACAGCTGGCTA